CGGCGGGGCTGGAGGTGGGGGGGGTCCCGGCGGGCGGCGCTGGGGTTTCCAGGCGCTGTCCCTGGTGCTGCTGCTGGGGCAGGGCGCGCTGCTGGACCTCTACCTGATCGCCGTCACCGACCTCTACTGGTGCAGCTGGATCGCCACCGACCTGGTGCTGGCCGCCGGCTGGGGCATCTTCTTCTGCCGCAACAGCCGGGCACGACGCCGGGAGAGGCACCCCCACCTTCCTCCCCACCCTCCACCTCCCCTTCCCACCGGCCCGCCGCCTCCACACCCGTTGCTGCTACACGGTCCCCCCGGTGGCCGAGGGGCCGGTGGCCGCGGGGCCGGCGCTTCCCCCCGCGGAGGCGACTTCGCCTACGCGCACCTGGCTTGGCTCATCTACTCCATCGCCTTCACGCCCAAAGCGGCGCTGATCCTGGGCACTTCCATCCTGGAGCTGATCGAGCTGCGCCTGCCCCTGGGCACCACCGGTTTCCGCATCACCCTGGCCCTCTCCGCCCCGCTGCTCTACTGCCTGCTGCGGGCCATCGGCGCCGAGGGCACCGGGCAGCTTCTCCTCCCGCCGCAGCCGCCTCCGCAGCACCGAGCCGCCGCCGCTTTCCTCGCCACCTGCCTCGACTTGCTCGACAGCTTCTCCTTGCTGGAGCTGGTGCTGCAACCCGGCCGGCCGGCTCCTCTGCCCGCCCCGCTTCGCTACCTCCTCATCGCCGTTTATTTCCTCTGCTTGGCCTCTCCGGTGCTGTGGCTTTACGAGCTCAGCGCCGCCCGCCCCCCCGGGGCCGCCCGCCTCGCCCTCCACCTCCTGCTGCCCGCCGGGCTGCTGGACGCCCCTCTCCTGGCCCTGCGCTGCCTCCTTCTCCTCCGCTACCAGCAGCCCCTCTCCCTCTTCATGCTGAAGAACCTTTTCTTCTTGACCTGCCGCGGCCTGGAAGCGCTGGAGACCTGCTGCCTCCTCCGCCCTTCCACCTCCCCGCCGCCCGCCAAGTACGGCCCCTCCGCCGCCGCCCCCGCCGCCCCGCTGGCCCACGGGCTGTCCGACGCCGACGTGGGGCCCCACGGGTACGTCAACGCCTTGGCGGTCACCGCCCAGGGCTGAGCATCCTCACACCCACCCGCTCAGGTTCCCGCCGCCGTGGCCGGGGGGGGGACACGGGGGGACGGGGACGCGGGCTCCCCGGTCAGACTCTCGCTCTTCCCCCCATTCCCTCTCCCGTGGACAAACCCCTCAGCTCAAACCCGACTACCTGCAGGAGCCTGTCCCCCCGAAAGCCCCCCTGCCCTTCACAACGAGTCTTCTTCTAGAGGCTGTTTGGAGGGTCCCGCTCTCCCCTTCTCACTCCCCTCCAGGACATCGTGTTGCTTTGTGACCGTCGAGGTTTAGTTTTTCCTTTTCCTCCTAAACAACAGGGACCAGTGGATTTTTTTTTTTTTTTTTTTTGGTCCCCCTCCTTTAAGAACTCCTGCTGACCACCATGAGGAGATGGGGAGGGGGTGTGAGGGGTCCGACCAGCAGAGACGTGCCTTTGGGGTGCGGGCAGGACCAAAGGGAGCACGCGTTGGGTCTTGCAAAGCTGCCACCTCCCTTCCCCAGCAGCAGAGCTGCAGAAGGTCTTCGTGTGCCGGCTGGGGAACCTCCGGGGGAGGTTCATTTCAAACCTAGGAGCCACTTTCTCCAAGTTGAAAATGTCTACCTCTGTGCTTCAAAAACCTTTCGCATCTTACGTCGACTTCACGCGTGAATCCGGCACGGACATAAATCCAGGGGTTTAGACCCCGTTTCACTCCCACCGAGACATTTCTTTCTGGTGAGAACAGGGTTTACAGCAGCTCGCTGCTTGCTTCAGACAGCAGCCCCCAGGTGCTGGGGGCTCTCATTTCTCTGTGAATATGCATGTTTATGGCATCAGTGTTGGTTTTTCTTTTACACGGAGTGTAGGGTCTCCCTTTCCACAGGCCGGGAAGGCTGGAAAGTTTTCCTCTGGCTCTCCCTCCGTGTCTGTTTGCGAGAGCAGAGACAGGGCTAAGCTGGCAAATTGTCCCCCCTGGCAAAGAGCAGAAGATGTCATTTTTGCCCAGGGGGGGACCCCGCGCTCGGTGAACCTCACTCCTCAGCACAGAGCTCCCAAGCTTTGCCAAAAGCCCATAATCCAGCACCCTGTCCTCCACCTGCATGTGGTTAAGGGTGGAACGGGGGAAAAAAATAATTAATTGTTAGTAACCTCTCCTAGAAACAGAGTTATCTTCGGTTTTAAGCTCCACGAATGTTTGGTGGGGGTTAAGACCTGCCCTTCCGCCTGGCTACGGCTGCTCCTGAAACCAACCCAAGGGAAGCAGGAGCACAGAGGCCACGTTTGGAGGAAGGACTTTTCCCCTCCCAGGCTTATATTTTTTTATCTGGGCAAGGCTACCTTTATTGGGAAAATGTGCTTCCTCTCCCCAGCCTTTTTTTTTTTTCAAGCCGTCCTGATGGGAAGGGGAAATAAAGCACAACCAACTGCTATCCAGAGCCAACAGCAGGACTGCCCAGACTTCTCCTGCGCACACATCCATTCTCTCCTTCAGAGCTTGGGCTTCAAGCAAGGACCTGCGTGGCCAAGCTTCCATCCCACCACCCTTCTCACGGCGTGGGATGGGCTGCCTGCTCCAGTGGACTGCTACAACAACATGTTTACAGTCTGCCAACTTCCAGCAGCCCCGCTGGCAGAAGTGGGGGTGCCACGGGGCTCTTCTCCCCCAGCTTTGGGGTGGCTGATGAGCTTCGAGGGGCTAGAAAAGCCCTAGAAAAGCTGGGGCAATAGAGCTGCTCCGTTCCGAGCTGCAGCTGGGATGGGTGGCTTGCTGCTCTCCCCCACGCCAAACGGAGAGTCAGCAAAGGCTTGGATTGCCTTTCCCACCAGTGCTTTATTTTTAATCTGAGCCCTTACGTGGGCAATCGTGTGAGTTTTGGCCAATGGCCTTTCTCTTCAGTAACTTCTTTTTGTCTGGACAATCTTGGTGCTGTGAGTGACTGTGATTGTAAAACTTGGTACTGTGAACTTTTTCCTATGTGATGTGAGATGTGTCGAGGGGATGCTAAGTTCCTGGCCAAAGGAGGTGTCGTTACAGGTATATTATGCTTGTACAGATACTTGTTTCCTTGCACCTTCCCTTTTTCAGCATTAAACAGATACTAAAAGCTCAGAAAGAAGTACAGTAGAGTTTCCAAGAGAGAATGAGATGATGCCTGTACCCAGGAGTACTCCATGCTTCAGTCAAACAGCTGAAGAAAAAAGAAAAAAAAAAAACCCACAACACCCCAAAACACCAAAAAAACCCAACAAACTTGGCCTAAAACAAGGTGAAGGAAAAGCTATTCACCCCCAACTATGTTTTGCTGCTCCTACGGCCAAGTTCACCCTAGCACCAAGGTGCTTAGAACATCCCTAATATGCTGAAGCATAAGCATAGTTGAGACACTAGAAGAATCCCAGCAGAATTATTAACAAGTCTCACTTCAGTACCCCTTCACAGCACATAAAGTTGCTGTTTCAACAGCGAGTGCCTTTTTCCATTTAAGACATTATTGAGAAAATGGCATAGTTGAAATTTATCTAGCCATGGCATATTCAAAAGGTTGACAGTGAAGTCACAGTTTCAATTTGTGCATGGACACAAAGGTTGCCTGGGACAGGATGACCCTGCAGAACGATGCCTCTGTTGTGTAGAACCCCTTTGTAGAAAATGTGGTTGGTTGTAGTGCCATGGTTTCTAGGTTGTTAGTAAACGTGCTGTTTGGAGAGCGGAAAGCTCTCGGAGTAGTTGGCCGTAGAGAAGCCCCCCCTTGCCACTAAAAGGGCAGCTCTGCTGCCACTTCAATTACTTATTACAGGGAAACATTTAAAGCTCCTCGATGTCTTGTTTCTAAGCCTGCTCCTCCTTTTGAATTCCCTTCTCTTTGGTAATTGAGCTCTCACTTCTTCCATTTAAACCCCCCTGCTGCAGGATAGATCTGTTTGCAGAAGAGAGAGACGGCGGTGCCGTTAAAGTGCAAGCAATACCTCACCCCGTGCACCTCGCACACCTACTGTATCTTCTGCCAACATCCAATTTACTGCTCCAGGTCAATAACACTTTGCTAAACAAAGTTGTGCCATACTAAGACGTGCGTCTCTCGGGGTTCTGTTACAAGCCTCATAACGCAACTCGGCAATTTAGCATTTTATTGCTCTCTGTTTGCTAATCCTGACAAAAGAGATGACGACTCCCAGGAGGGGAAACTGAAGTGAGAGGTAGGGCCTGTGGCCAATGGACACCTGGCATCCCCCTGGCATTAATCAGAACTTGTATTTTTTAAGAAGCAAGATTGTTAAAATAAAATTAGAAACTTGTGACTGATTTTGCTCTTTTTTTCCCCCCTCCTTTGGGTCTCGCTGGGCTATCCAGTTTCACATTCAGGGACCAACAGATGCATTAAAGTTACTTGATTTCCCGCTGTTGGATTGCTAAAGTAGCATCTGGATTTTTCCCCTCAAACAAACTTCTTGTATGTGAAAGCAAGTTCTAAAAGCTGTAACACCAAGGGAGTTATTTGAGAAGGGAATGACTAAGGCAAGAAAATCCAGATGACACTTCTGAGCTTCCTATTGAAATGATTTATAGGAATTCATACCACTTGAAAAAGGCTCATGGGAAAAAAAGAAATCAGATTTACATGTTAATTGCTCTAAGATAAAAGAAAACTTTGAGAAGCAAGATCATCAAAATGACAATTATTCACATCATCTGAGAAATGGGTTCTCATTGGAGAAGCGCTGAGATCACAGCTCCCGCTTGCTTAGCTCCTGTTGGGTTAAGTCCTGTACAGACATGAAACGAAGGTGGCACCCAGTCACCCCAGTTTGCAGGGACTGTCCCTTTGTTATTAGGCTTTCGAGGCACCTGGCTGCAGAGAAAGCAAGTTGTCTTAACAGTCCTGCCTCACTGAGAAGCCCTGCACAGGGTCTGGAGAAAAAGAGGCTGAGGGGAGACCTTATTGCTCTCTACAACGCCCTGAAAGGAGGGTGTAGACAGATGGAGCTCAGTCTCTTCTCCCAAGTAACAAGCTACAGGACAAGAGGAAACGGCCTCAAGTTGCACCAGGGGAGGTTCAGATTGGATAGTAGGAAAAGTTTCTTTACTGAAAGGGTTATCAAACATTGGAACAGGCTGCCCAGGGGAGTGGTAGAATCATCATCCCTGGAGGTATTTAAAAGAGAGGTAGATGTGGTGCTTACCGACATGGTTTAGTGGTGGTTTTTGTCAGTGTTAGATTGCTGGTTGGACTTGATGATCTGAAAGGTCCCTTCTAACCTAGACAATTCTATGATTCCATGAAATTACAAACATTTAACTTCTTCAGCACCCATTTTGAAAGAGCATGCACTTCCCACACATGAGGGCCCTCAGCTGTATCCAGCTCAACTGGATAGAGCTGCAACACTTTGCAGGAATGTTTTGATACTTGTCAACCAGTTCACTTCTAGCTCTCAGTTTTGCCTCAGATTTCTGTAAGAAATAGTAACAAAGGGAGTCAGACAGAATCAAGGACATAAGTGTTTAAGGAAATATATCCAAAAAGTATTCTTGTTTTTTAATTTAAGGAAAAAAACCCACAAGGTATAAACAACTAAAATCATAAAATACACAATACAATAGTGGTTGCAGGTCAAATGAACAGATTATCTTCTGAGATACCAGATTTTTAAAAAAGATGAAATAAGATTAAGATTTTTTAGATGAGTAAACTTAGAAGGCCAGGAAGATGACAGGCTTGTCTGAGCACAAAGGAGAAAGGCCTGGATGTATGTACATCTCACAAGCTGTTATCCAGTGGGTTGGACCACAGAAACTGCGATAACAAATCGGGCAAACACCAGCCATGACTGGTGGTCCACGACCCAGTCAGTGCTACGTGGGCCAACATGCAATCACTCACAGGGAACAAGTTTTTCTAGTGCATCAAGCCTAATCTTTTTAAAAGCACTGAATTTTATCGTTACCACCATTGCACCTGAAAGATGAACCCCTCAGTCTATTAAGTATTTCACAATGGTTGGCCTTGAACTTCTCATGCTTGAGTTTATACCCACATAAGTACATCTT